CCCTTAAATAAGGATAATTACAAAGAAATGAGCTATCTGGAATGGACTGGAAAGGAGTATAGCAGCAAAGATGATTGAGGAATAATGGCAGATGTTTAAGAAAATGGTTCGTGGCTCACAACAAAGATATATCCCAGTGAAGTCCTTAAACAACCAATAAATTGCCTCTTATAACATAACCTAACAAGCAGGCCATTCAGCCTCTTGACTCTGCTGTGCCATTTAATACGATCATGGCTGATTTAATCTCGGACTCAAGGTGACTTCTCAGTCTCCTGCCCATTCCCCATAACCTTTTAACCTGTCACAAATTAAAAGTCTGCCTATCTCCCTCTTAAATTTATTCTGTGTTCCGCATCCACCGCACTCTAGATAACAAATTTCACAGATTCACAGCCCTTTGAGAGAAACAATTCCTCATCATACTTTGCCACTCCTTAGCCTAAATTATGACCACGCATTCTAGATTGCCCCACAAGGGGAAACATCAAATCTATGTCTACTATGTCCATCCCCATTAGCATCTTAGATACCGCAATTAGATTGCTTCTCACTCTTCGAAACTCTAGCGAGTATTGGCTTAAACGACTCAATATCTCCTCATAAAACAATCCTTTCACTTCTGGAATTAATCGAGTGAATATTTTCTGAAGTGCCTCAAAGTCAATCACATCCTTCCTCAAGTAAGGGGATCAAACTGTACAGAGTACTCCAGGTGTGGTATCACTAATGGAACAATGTTTCCATACTTTTATACTCTATTCCTTTAGCAATAAATGCCAAAATTTCAATTTCTTTCCTTATTACTTGATGTAACTGCATACTAGTTTTCTGTGATTCATGCGCAAGGCCACACAAATATTTTTGTACTGAAACATTCTGAAGATTCTCTCCATTTAGACATTATGTTTCCTTCTATTCTTCCAACCAAAATGGACAACCTCACATTTATCCACGTTAAACTCGATCTGCCAAATTTTGGCCCATCTGCTAACCTTTCCATATCCATTTGTATATTTCACAGTTCTTCATTGCAACTTACTTTCCCACCTATTTTGTGTCATCTGCAAATATGGCAATAGTAATTTCTATCTGTGCATCCAAGTTAAATATAGATTGCATACAGCTGGGGCCCAAAGACCAAGCCCTTTGGTGCCCCACAAGTTGGAACTTGCCAACCAGAAAAAGACCTATTTACCTTGACTCTCTGCTTTCTGTTGGTCAGCTAATCCTCTATCCAAGCTAATATATTATCCCTAACTGCATGTGATCTTACCTTCTGTATGGCACCCTATCAAATGTTTCTTGAAGTCTAGACACACTACATCTGCAGGACCCTCAATATCCATTATGTTTGTTACATCTTCAAAGTCTAACAAATTAGTAAAATAGAATTTACCCTTTAGAAAACTATAGTTACTCTGATGAATTGCATTTTGATTTTCCAAATGTCCCATTACTACTTCCTGAACATTAGATCACAATAATTTCTTAAGGACAGACATTAAACTAACTGGTCTACAGCTTCCTACTTACTGCCTCCCCTACTTTGAACAATTGTGTTATGTTAGCAATTTTCCAATCCACTTTCCCACATCCAGGAAATGTTAGAATATTATAATCAATGCATCCATTATCTCTGCTGCCATTACCTGTAAAATCCAGGGATGTAGTCCATTGGGCCCTCAGACTTGTCTTTAATCCCAATAGTTTGCTCTTTCTTCTTCCTTAGTGATGGTGATTCTTTTAAGTTCCTCTTTTACTATAACCTCTGAATTACCTGTTACTTTTGGAATGGTTTCAGACTTGTCTACTGAGGCAAAATATTAATTTAGTGTCTCTGCCATTTCTGTGTTCTCCATTATTAACTCCCCAGTCTTGTCCCCTAAATGCCCAACAGTTACTTTAGCTACTCTTCCTTTTTATTCATTTATAGAAATTTATATTACTTGTTTTTATATTTTAAGTTAATTTTCTTTCATAATTCACCTTTGCTTTTTTTTTAAACTTCTTTAGCAATCCTTTGTTGGTCTTAAAGATTTCCCAATCCTCAAGCCTGCCACTGACCATTATAATAAGGTATGCCTTAATTTTTACCTTTATGTTATCTTTAATTTCCTCATTTAGCCATGGATGCTTTATCTCCCTCTTACAATCTTTCTTCATCTCTGGAATATATTTTAGAAAGAGGAAATAAATATCTCCTTCAATGTCTGACACTATTCATCAACTGTCCCATCTTTTAGTCTTTCTGCCTGGTCCAAATCTGTCCTGTGCATATGTTATTACTTTTGTTTAACATCAGAACATTAATTTGGGACAAGTTTCTCACCCATTGACCATATTGTTTAGGTCTTCCACAAGATTCTGCCCTTTAAGTATTTTTGGATTTTTACTTGTGGTAATCTGTAATCTGTGAGTATCCCTCCAGATCAAGGACTGCAGTTCAAGAAAGCAATTCACCACTACCTTCACTGGGGCAATTTGAGATGGATAATAATTACTAGCCTAACCAGCAACACCCACATCCCATGAACAAATGAAAAGAAAAGCACTTCCTGTTTATGTTAGAAATGTGGAATTGTTCGATTGCAGAACAGATTTGTTTTCTCTAACGTCTCCAACCAAATTTAAAAAAAGGAACAACACATCCACCTTTGAGAATAAAATATTTAAATAATGTGGTAGAAATAGACAACAAAATGATGTTCTTTTTCCATGGTATAATTAAAAATGGCTAATGTTACACCTAGATGAATACAATTGCATTAACATAAGTGGACAGCACACAACAAGAGCAAAATATGGTAGATGCTGGATATGTAAAATTAAAAACAAAAATTCCTGGAAAACTCAGCAGATTATGCAGCATCCCTCCCACTTTCCACTATCTTCAAAGCTCTTACATTTCTATCATTTAATCAACCTGAAATGTTAACTCTGTTTCTCTCCACAGATGCTTCAACATTTTCTAATTTCCTGGCCCTAACCACTTCATCTTCACCGGACCTCCATTCCAGCTACACCCCCATGCTGATAAAGCTAGGATCAGAGTTCTTTGAGGACTAACCAATCCATACCTATGACTATTGTCACCCACCTGCCTTAATGTGTTTCCTATTTACTGCCTCCAAAACTCTGAACAACTTCTCCATTAGCTTCACTCATTCCCTCCAAATAAAAGGTGTAGGTATGGATACCTGCGTGGGTCTGAGTTAAGTGGAACATTTATTATTATAGTCTGGCTCAGATCTCCTCCCTCATCACTTTTTCTAATTCGTTGATAACTGTATTAACAATTGGCTCATGCTATGAGCTGGGAAATGTCTTTGACTCTGTTTCTAATTTGTACCTTTCACCTTAACTTGGTCCATCTCTGGCTCTTCCCTTTTTTTCTTCAACAGTTGTCTCTGATGCTAGGGATAGGCTACCTACTAATGTTCACAATGAACCCACAGACACCCACAACCATACTCACTACACTTACTCAGGTACTGTTTCCTGTAAGGATTATATCCCATTCGTGGAAGCAGTGACATGCGATAATGTCATTAGACCTAGTAATCCAGAGCCCCAGGTTGTTGCTCTGGAGACATGGCTCAAATCCCACTCATAGCAGTTGATGAAATTTAATTCATCAATGTGGAATTAAAAGCTAGTCTCAGCAATGGTGACTACAAATGATTATTTTGTTCTTAAAACCCATATGGCTGTCTAACCTGTTTAACTATTATTTTAATAATAGAATTCTGTGCCCTGATATCATAAATTGTAGTTTAATCTGATTCTGTGGCTGCTGATGGCCCATAGTGCCTGAACAATACCTAGATATGTTTGAAAGATTTCGCATTTAGCACGATGGTAGTGTTACACAATGGAGGGGGTCCTCAATGTGAAGATAAGACTTCATCTCCACAATTGGTGGACTGCAGTCCACAACGGAACAGCTCTTGAGTGGGAGACAAAGCGAAGTGATTCCACGACCAATGGATCAGATCTAAGCTCTGCCATTCTGCTGCATCCAGTTGTGAATGGTGGTATAAAGCCAAATATCGAACTGGAGGGAGATACTCCACAAGTTTCCCCATTCTCAAGAATGGTGGAACCCATTATAATAGCAAAAATACAAGGTTTAAGCATTTTCAACCATCTCTATCAGAAGGAGCAAATAAATGATCAATCTCAGTTTCCTCCTGAGATCTCCAGCATCACAGATTGTCTTCAGCCACTTTAATTCACTCAAAAAGATATCTGGAAATGACAGAAGGCTCGTGATAGCTATCTATCGCTTGATGTAGACCCTGATAAGATTCCTCCAAAAGTACTGAAGACTTGTGCTCCAGAACTAGTCACATCCCAAGCCAAGCTATTCCAATACAGATACAATAATAGCATCGAACTGGCAGCGTGGAAAATAGCCCAGGCTTTTCCAGTGGTGATTTGATCCACTGACACCATCAATTTTTTTTTATTCATTAATGGGGTGAGGTCATCGCTGGCTAAGCAGCATTTATTGCCCATCCCTAATTGCCTAGAGGACAGTTAAGAGTCAACCACATTGCTGTGGGTCCAGAGTCACATGTAGGCCAGACTAGATAAGGACGGCAGTTTCCTTCCCTAAAGGACATTAGTGAACCAGATGGGTTTTTCCCAATAATAGGCAACGGATTCGTGGTTATCATTAGATTCTTAATTCCAGATATTTTTATTGAATTCAAATTCCACCATCTGCCGTGGCGGATTCGAACCCAGGTCACCAGAACATTATCTGGGTTTCTGGATTAACAGTACAGCAATAATCCCACTAGGCCATCACCTCCCCTCAAAGCGCATATTTGGAAATATCTATTTGGTAGCAGAGGACTTCTGATCTGTAAAATGTAACTGAAAATAAACTAAACAAAAAAACCACATAAAAGGATAAAAAAAAATGTTCAAGTTATTGATTTTTGTCATAACGAGGACATATTAATTTCAATTGGTATCTTTGTGTGTTCTCATTACTTACTCACAATCCTTTCATAAGAAACTTTAAATCCATGTTTAGCTGATGGTTTGTGTTGAAATTCTATAATAACTGCACGTCCAGTGGAATTCGTTTTTAATGGTAATGACACTTTATTACAGTATTGTTCTGCCACAACAGAAGGGGATTGTGCGACATCATGAATGATCACACTATTTTCTGTACAGTTTGAGCTCTCCTTAAGCTTCAATTCTTGAAATATCAAGGTCAACTATTGAAAAACAAGAACAATACATAATGTTATGCCAGTTTTAAAATATGTTCTATTCTTTCCAGTCTTGATTGCATTACAAATTCAAATGGAATATAAATCTAGGTGTTTAAAATATTTGGGGAAATTTAAGTTATTGATCAAAATTACCTAATAATATATAAAATGATTTCTTATAGTATATTGTTGCTGTTAAGAAATATTGAAATACTGCATTGAAAATGGCGGAACTTAGTCCAAACATTAATCTATTTATTAAAATTGCATATTGGTATTTTTTATCTCGTGCAGCTCAAAGTAAAGCACATTACATTGATGATTAAGGAGTCTGTTTTCACGTATATCTAAATAGACTAGAGTTAGACTGGATAACCCTAAAATAACAATGCAAGCAAAAGGCAGATGTACAAACCACCAGACCATAATGCTATTTATTAATTGTGCACATGTACAGGAGGCTTTGTATCATGGTTGCTTAACATTACTTGAAATCAGCCTGGATCTATTAAACAAAAGCTGCTTGTGGTTGCTTTAGTTCTGAGATTAATTTTAATATTGTACTACAGAAGGAATAACAATGGCTGGCCATGACAAGAAGTGCTTTGAGTTCTTTAGATGCTACACTGGAGATCCTAGTGGAGGAAGTGGAAAGAAAGTCAGGCATTTTGAATACTCTGTGGGAGTTGGGTTGGAGTGTGCACAGAGGCCCCGAAGACACATGCACAGAAAGCTAGAGATATGGTGGCAGAAATCAATACCAGCAGTAGTCCAAAAATCTGCAATTGTGCCACAAAATGAGAAGATCATGAGACCATTAGGTGGGACATGAAGCTGGGCCTCCTGGCTCTGAGGCAAGGACATTACCATTATGCCACAAGGACCCTCCAAGTTCAGTGCTTTTTTTTAAAATTTAACTGATTTTTCTAATCAACCTGTGCAGAGATGTTATTACACATCCTTGGAGCAGGTGGGGCTTGAACTTGGGTCTCTCAGTCCAGGAGTAGGAATGCTATCACTGTGCCACAAGAGCCCCACCCCTATCCAAGTTTGGTTCTGAAGTCAGATTTGGACTATAGCCTTTAACCAAGTTAAAATAGCCCAATTAAAGGAGGCGGCTGCTAAATGTGGCAGTCAAAATTCAAATATTTTATTCATTTGTCTAGATTAGGTGTGTCTTTTTCCTATCCCATCAAACCTAGAAGAACTGGAGCTGTTCAATTAAATGCTGACGCATTTGAAAACACTAAAAGACAATGGTTGGAACTACGATCCAGTAACACCTAATACAGAGGTATAATTTGACAGCCCCAATGTTGGTATTTGGAATGGACTTTTGTGTATAAGGACCTCAAAAAAGGTGGTTCCAAGTCACAGTTCTCAGGTGAACAAACTGTGAACAGCATGTAGGACTAAACAATCTTTCTGTCACTGATAACTCAGAAGAAGATGCCCAGAAATCATATCTGTTCTGCTGAAAAAGACTCCAGGCAGAATTCAAGTGTTGTGCTGGCAGAACTAGTAACAGAAAGGAATCCTCATTCATTCCCCTAATGTGCTCTACCTACTGAGTCCATCTACAAAGACAAACTCTGATTACGTGATAACCAAAACCATTGCAGCTGCTGAAGATAACTTTTCAACTTTAAACTTTCATTAAGGTTGTAGACATGCTTGCTGAGCTTGGTTGCAGACGTTTTGTCACCCTGCTAGCTAACATCGTCAGTGTGCCTCCCGTGAAGTGCTGGTGTTCTGTCCCGCTTGTTATTTATATGCCTCAGTTTGCTGGGTGGTTGGCATTATTTCCGGTTCTGTTTTACAAACCACTGAAAAACAAAACCAGAAGTAATGCCAACCACCCAGCAAACCGAGGGATATAAATAACAAGCAGGACAGAACACCAAAGCTTCACTGGAGGCGCACTGACGATGTTACCTAGCACGGTGATGAAACATCTGCAACCAAACACACCAGCTTGGGGAGCAAGTCTAAAACCTATCGACAACCCAAGCTACAAATTTTGTCAAAACCTTTAAACTTTCATTCCAGACAACCAGCATGTTAATTGCAAGGTGTGGCACTGCAATAACATCTTAACACAATAACTGAGCTGAAATTATCTTTATAATGATCTTGTGTCCTCATCCTTGCATGCACTTTAACTTAATTACTTTTACTTCAGTGACTTATACCAGTACTTCACACACAAAGACCACTTTATGGAAACATAGCTTTACAAGATCCTGACAGTTATCAAATTTTTCAGACTGCTACTATCAAACCTTATAATATCTTTTCACCAGCAGGACCCAAAAACAGTGTACATTATTGGAAGGATGAGATTTGCTCTCAATTTCTCCGCTTCTGGATTTCAGCATATACCCACAGGTAACTAGATATAAAAAAAAGTATGAAATAAAAAAGTTTGTAAAAAGTAGTTATACATAAATATATTTACGATTATGAAAGCAAGAAGGATTATTTTAAGAATATTACTGAATTTATATTTGGCAGCAAAACCAGTTGCTTGTAATTTCCGAGTTGAGGTGAACGTTATAAATAATTCATTTCGTGTTGATATTGCAGCCGGATTATCTGCTCCACAAATTGGTCCTTCAAGGATATCTGCATGAATACTGGAACCATCATAAATTGTTAAATGATCACCAATGCATGCTGCAAATTCTTGTATTTGAAATCTCAAGAATTCCAAGAGAATCTAAAAAACAGAATAGATCACATAGTCAAATCCAACAATTTCCATTGGAAACAATAATTACACAGAATAGCACATTTCACAGATGTGTAAAAGTCCAAAATATGAAACAAGCGTGTTATTTTAGTATATTGTGTAATGTATGTCAACCTCAATTGTCATAGTGGGCTCATTATGGCATCCGGTGCTTGACAAGGGAAGGCCAAATGTGGCAAAAATTATTTAACTCAGTTGGCTAGATGGATAGCATGCAGTCTAGAATAACACAAAGAGTATGGGTTAATTCCTGCTCTGCATGAGGTAAACATGGGGTCTGTGACTTTGCCTTGAGAGTAGAAAGCAATGGCAACTATGGCTGAACAACAACTACCAATGAACCAGTTCAGGAAGAAGCATAGGTCAACAATGAGACAAGGGCCTGCTTTTGGGCATAACACATATCAATGTATAAATCAATGTACATTTCAGGTCTAACATTTTCCAGTCCATACGTGGTTTTACACAGTTTCCAGCTCCTTGCTGTACAGCGCAGCAGGATTTTAGGTTGTGGCTTTTTTCCACTGAGCATTTGTGGCAACTGGCACATTCTTTAATGCACCTGTCAGCATGTTGTCTTCAATCTTGGAGTTTTTAGTTTAAACACTAGGTCGAGTACAGTTCCTTCCTCAGTAAATCTTCATTAACCCACAACTATTTATTGATTCTATTCCACTGCCTATGTCCTGTTTATATCTGTTCAATTCACTAGCACATTTCTTGAATTTCTCCATCAAGCTTCTGGATTCACCATGCTTCTTTATATCACAGAACCTTGAGAAGGTGACAGGGGTCTCACTACTTTAACAAATAAACTTACATCTTCTTGCAAGCAGCTACCCCAAATGCCCTGTCCTCCACTCTCCCTAGCAATTTGATCAAGCGCACCATATGGGAACCAATTTTATGAAACTTCTCCTTGGACAGGAAAGCATTACAGGACAGAAAGCAGTCTTTCAGCTTATTATAACAAGGTGTGGAGTTGGAGGAACACAGCTGCCAGGCAGCATCAGGGGAGCAGGAAGGCTGATGTTTCAGGTCTGGACCCTTCTTCAGAAATGGGGGACAGGAAGTGGGCTCTGAAATAAATAGAGGGGGGGAAACGCGGTGATAGAAGATAGATAGTGGAGCAGATAGGTGGAGAGAAGATGGACAGGTCAAGGGGGCGGGGATGAAGCTAGTAAAGGTGAGTGTAGGCATGACGTTGGGATGGGGGTTGGTCTGTGAGGTGGGAGGAGCAGATAGGTGGGAGAGAAGACGGACAGGTCAAGGAAGCAGGGATGGGGGGTGCTGGTCTTGGGATGAGGTCAGGGATGGAGAGATTTTGAAACTTGTAAAATCCACATTGAGACCATTGGGTTGTAGGGTTCCAAGGCAGAATATGAGGTGCTGTTCCTCCAGTTTCCGGGTGGCATTGTTGTGACACTGGAGGAGGCCCAGGATGAACATGTTGTCCAGGGAGTGGGAGGGGGAGTTGAAGTGGTTCACGCCTGGGAGGTGTTGTCGTCTGTCGCGAACCAAACGTAGGTGCTCCACAAAGCGGTCTCCGAGCCTCCGCTTGGTCTCCCTGATGTAGAGGAGGCCACATCAGAAACAGCAGATACAATAGACCACATTAGCAGATGTGCACGTGAACATCTGTTTATTGTGGAAGGTTTTCTTGGGGCCTGGGATGGAGGTGAGGGGGGAGGTGTAGGGGCAGGTGTAGCACCTCCTGCAGTCGCGACAAACAACAACACCTTCCAGTCGCAAACCACTTCAACTCCCTGTCCCACTCCCTGGACGACATGTCCATCCTGGGCCTCCTCCAGTGTCACAACGATGACACCTGGAAACTGGAGGAACAGCACCTCATATTCCGTCTTGGAACCCTACAACCCAATGGTCTCAATGTAGACTTTACGAGCTTCAAAATCTCCCCACTCCCGACCTCATCCCAAGACCAGCCACCCCTCTCGTCCTCTTTGATCTGTCCATCTTCCCTCTCATCTATCCGCCCCTCCCTCCTCACTGACCAACCCCCATCCCAACTTCCTACCTACACTCACTTTACTAGCTTCATCCCCACCCCATTAACCTGTTCGTATTCTCTCCGCCTATCTGCTCCACTATCCACCTTCTATCACCGCCCCCTTTTCTATTTATTTCAGAGCCCCCCTCCCCTCCCCCATTTCTGAAGAAGGGACCAGACCCGAAACGTCAGCTTTCCTGCTCCTCTGATGCTGCCTGGCCTGCTGAGTTACTCCAGCTCCACACCTTGTTATCTCAGACTCCAGCATTGGCAGTTCCTACTATCTCTTTTAGCTTATTATATCTGTAATGGCAGAATAAGCTGGCTACTTATTTCAACCTCAATTTCCAGCACTGGTCCTTAGTCTTGCAGGTTACAGTGGTTAAGGTGCTTCTAGATTCCTCTTCAACGAGATGAGGATTTCCACTGCAACCACCATATTGATCAGCACAATTCAGACACCCGCCACCTCCTGCCTAAAAAAGCTTCCCTCATGTCTCCACTAATCCTTCTACCAATCAGCTTAAATCTCTCTCCCCTGGTAAGTGACCTCTCCAATAGGGGAAATATGTCTTCACTATCCATCTTTAACCTGGTCCATCAGTATTTTGTGCAGCTCAATTAAATCAACCCTCAACCTTCTCTCAAAGCAAAACAATCTTTGCTCACAGCTGAAATTTTCAAGCTGTGACAATATTCTTGTCAATTTTCTCCGTTCTCTCTCCAGAGCAAATATGTCCTTCTAGTAATACAGTAGTGGTCTAATAAGTGTCTTATATAGTTCCAACATTACATCCCTACTTTTGTATTCAGCTCCTTGTCCAATGAAGGAAACCATCCCATGTGCTTTCTTTACAACATTATCTACCATCCTGCCACCTTCAGGAACCTGTGACCATTCACTCCAATGTCTTCCTCTCCCCCTCTCAATACACTTCTCTTTATTATGCATTCCTTTGCTTCATTTGTTCTCTCCAAATGCATAAACTCATACTTCTCCAGATTGAATTTCATTTGCCACATTCTTTGCCCACTCAATCAAATCATTAATATTCTGGAATCAACAGCCGTCCACTTTGCTATCAACTACATGGGCAACTACTGTGTTGTCTGCAATTTACCAATCATTGCTCTCACATTTAAGTTCAAATCATTACTAAGTACATAATCAACAAGGGACCCAATACCAATCTCTGTGAAACAGCACCAGAAATGGGTTTCCATTCATAAAACTATCTGTTGTCTCTTTGTTTCCTCTCATTGAGCCAATCTGGAATCCATCTCACCAGATTCCCCCTGTATTCCATGAACTTTAAATTTTCTTAATATTCTGCCAGTCTGGCATATGGGCCTTGTTAAATACCTTTACTTGTCTTCCCATTTTCTGGTACTTCACCTGAATCTAGTGAGGATTAAAGAATGATCCATGTGACATTTGCAATTTCTTCTTTGGCTTCCTTTAACAGCCTAGGATACAATGAATTTGGCCCTGGTGAGTTATCTGCCTTCAAGGAAGTTTGTGCCTCCAGTACTTCCATTCCCATTGGGAATTTGAATCATAGAATCATACAGCATAGAAACAGACCCTTCAGTCCAACCAGTCCATGCTGAACATAATCCCGAACTAAAATAGACCCACCTGCCTGCTCTTGACCTATATCCCTCCAAATCTTTCCTATTTATGTATCTATCCAAATGTCTTTTAAAAGTTGTAATTGTACCTGCATCGCCAAATTCCTCAGGAAGTTCATTCCACATGTGAACCACCCTCTGTGTAAAAAATTTGCTTCTTACATCTTTTTTAAATCTCTCTCCTCTCACCTTAAAAATGTACCTCATTGTCTTGAAATCCCCCATCCTAAGGAAAATGAAACAACCATTAACTTTACCCAAACCTCTCATTATTGTACAAACTTCTATCATTGCCTCTTAATCTCCTATATTCCAGTGAAAAAAGTGCCAGCCTATCCAATCTTTCTTCATAACTCAAACCCCCCATTCCCAGCAATATCCTAGTGGATCTCTTCTGAACCCTCTCCAGCTTGATAATATCATTCCTATAACTGGGCAACCAGAACTGTACACAATATTCCAGAAGAGACCTCACTAATGTCTTGTACAACTTCAACATGACTTCCCAACTCCAATACTCAAAGGACTGAGCAATGAAGGCTAGCATGCCAAATGTCTTTTTAACCATCCTGTCTATATGTGATGCAAACTTCAAAGAATTATTTATCTGCACCTCTAGGTCCCTCTGTTCTACAACACAACCCAAGGCCCTACCATTAATTGTATAAGCCCTACACTTGTTTGTTGTACCAAAATGCAATACCTCACATTCATCCAGATTGAACTCAATCTGCCATTTTTCAGCCCATTGACCCATTTGATCAAGATCCCTTTCTAATCTAGAAAACCTTCTTCAGTGTCTACGATTATACCATACTCCTCCTCTAAGGAGAATTTGTGCATAATCCCTATCCTTCATGAAGACAGAGAAAAGTTACTCACTAAGAACCTTTTCTGCATCATCCTTATCCATGCACAAATTGCTATGTATATCTCTGATAAGGCCAATATTTTCATACGTCATCCTTGAGTTCTTAATGTAGTGATAAAACATACTTGAATTTTCCTTAACTTTACCAGCCAATAATTTTTAATATCCTCTCTTGACTTTCTGAACTTCTTTCTCAATGCTGATTCTGCAGACCACTTATAGTGGTTCATCTATCACTGCCACCATTCTTTCTAGAAGGTCTGTTATTTGTGAACAAAGCCCTTGCAATCCATAAGCTTATAATGATGATTGCATCAACATCATGAATTGGGGGACATTGTAAACACCCTCCACAACATTGTACACAAATTCTCTGACATGCTGATCAGTATCTGAAGCATTTTCTGATGTATACTCATCACTACAGTATTCTAGCCCATCAAATTCTACATT